CTTTTTTAAAAAGCTACACGAGCAGTCAACTGGTGGCTGTTTGTTATGCGGTTGTATCAGGAATTTTCTATTTCTCATCTAATCTGCGTTTCCAGCTATGCATCTTTCTGGGTGTCATTTGGGACTGAGTGTCTTTGCAGTGGAAGAAATACCTTTGCAAGCGTCGAGGGAAGGTTTCAGCTGGCTTCAAGATACCCGTGTTGCTCACTTCAAATGAAAAATACTTCAGTGAAGTTTTCTGAAACCTGCGTGTCTCACTACACCGTTTTTGTTTTTTATTTTAAGTAAAATATTTAAATCCAACTGTGAAAGAAAAGTCAGAAAAGGATCATTTTTAATTTGAAGTGCACCTTGCAGATGTACTGCAGTTTGTGCAGTCAATATTTCTGCTCAAGAATTATTTTGTTAGTGGAGGGTTTATTGAATATTTCTGTTTGTGCGTAGTGTAAGGAGTTTTACTGTACATTATTAAGCAAAATATAGGATAGTCGGAGATAAAAGATTATGGGACTGAAGAGAAATTATTTCCTTCTTGTGTATCATGACTCATCATGATGTCATTCTCGGTCTGCAATGAGCTGTTTAGCATTGTGCCAAGGCTTTGCTGCTGCTCAGACAGGCACCACAAGAAAACAGGTAATGAGTTTGCAAAACGCTAAAGAAGTACCTGAGGAGGTGTGTGGCTCAGTATTGAGCAATACGTCTGTTGCAACAAAACATGTAACAGTATTTAGTTCAGCTGGGTTTAGTTCAGCTTGGGGAGCTGAGACCAAGCAAAACAAAAGCTCTTTTTAGAAGTCTCAGTTACAGGACTGTCCTCCACCGCGAGGGAACAGTTTGAAGTTTGAAATAAGAGAAGGTTTTTTTTCCATCCAAGGCCTCATCATTCATTTCCTAGTAGCACCAGTAACTATAGCTCTTGAAAGATTCTAGTGATTATGTATTATGACATGGTGTGGTTACATGATCTCTGCACTCTCCGTGTTGTTTGCTCTGCCTTTCCTTTAGCAACAGTTTTTTTTTAATCTGCTCTTCACAGAGCAGTTTTTTTTCCTACTTAAACAGCCCCTGAATGCAGAATGGATGTCTGGTGTTTTCATCGTTATAGGTTGCATGATTCGGTGATGTTTCAGATACTTATTGCCATACTGTATCTGTTGTGAGGTAGTGAGGTAACTGTTTTAAAAGTTTATAAAACAATATATAGGACAGGCCTGTGTCAAACAAGAGGTAATTTATGTTATACATAAACTAATCATTTTTAAAGACTTGGAATGTGTGAATTGTTATCAGATTTGTAAGTCAATTTGATTTAACTAAGTCAGAACTGGCCAGCTGTGGTCCTTGAGAGCGAGAGGGTGTTAGAATTTTAATTTCACCTGAACTCTAATCAACTTAATTGAACAAATTGCATGCTCGAGTGGTTGAAATGAATTCATTAGAAATTGTTTTGAAGATGACCCCTCAGTCCTTTGAGATTGTAGCTATCCAAGATCAGGGTTAGCTCCAGTGATAGATTACAGTATGTATGAACTTAAAGACAGTCTTTTTCGTCTATATCAGAAATATTATAGTGCAGATGGTTTTTCAAAACAGTCAGGCTCTTTGCTTGCTCTTGGAATTTTTATTTGTAAGACGCTGTAAGACAGGTTACTTTAAAAATGTTTAGAGTGAATGTTCGATGCTTTAATTTGTAGCAAACTTCCTTAGAAATGAAAAGGACTTTGCCTTCTACATAAAAAAATTGAGATCTTCTACTTTAAAAGACTCTTAATAGAGACTGGAATGTGCCTGCTGTACATGAAACACATAATTTAGTTTAATAAATTGCTTTGTCTGCAGGTGTCCACTTTACTTTCTGTAATTTATCTTTAATGTGCAGAAACGTGAGAGGATTCTTTTTTCAGTCGAGGCCAAGCACCTTGAGCAGTGCCCCGTAAACTGCTTTGCCGAACAGATCTCAGTGCTGATGTGAGGAGAGACGTTATAGGATTTATGCATCGAAAGCACTTGTCATGATTAAGTACATGTGCAGATGAAAACGCAACAGTAAAAAAAGTAACGGCAAAACACGTTAGCCACAAATAATTCAGTTTACGCACTTAATGAAGGCCTTATTGTTTAAACTGTAGAAAAATGTCTAACTGAAAAAGGGTCAGGGATGTAGCCTGAGTCCTAATTATAGAATGTTTGTAAGCTGTCTACAGAGAGCACATCCTGCATCAGTGCAGTGCAGTGAAAGTGACTGCCTGTTGCATCAAACAAGGCAGTATTCCTCAGTGTGCTGACCCACTTATCTCCAGTGCTGTCATTCTTAAAGTAGGGAGTTCTACTGCATGAGGCAGAGACCTGATCATGTTTGTCTTAGCAGTATGATCATAGGCTTTAGTCACATTATGTATTGTCATATTCAGTATGTAATGAACTGTGTCCCCACAGACATGCATTAAGTCTTATTTTTTGTCTCTGGCAATGGATAGTCTTGTAAATGCTTAATGTAAATGCAGTGAGAATATGCATTGTATTCCAACTAATGGATTGCCATTAATGAAAAGCAAACTGAACAAGAATACAAATAAACACGTTTGTGGCAGTAGTTTCTAATATGGAAGTACTATTTTTTGCCTGTTATAATTCCCATTTATTTGTAACTGAACACCTATGGAATGTGGGTAGTTCTGTTGAGAACCATGTGCCAACCATTCTGAGTATAGTCATTTTGTGTAGCAACTTTCAAGTCAAGATGTCTCAAAGCACTTTCCAGAGCAGGGAACAAATCCGTGGTCTGTGCTGTAAGTGTGACGAACATGCTGAAAACGCATGGTGATACAGAAAAAACAGCTCATCCTGATTCACAGGAAGCTAGCCTGAAGAAATGTTTTAAAATAGTTTTTAAAGACAGTAGAGGGCAGGAAGTAGAAAGCCACCATCTTGTGTTGCCAGGCAGACACACAACAAGCCAGAAGAGCAAAGAAGTCGAGATGGTTTAATAAGAAGGATCGTAATTCTCAGGTGAATTCTGAAGTCGATCTTACATGACACTACAAACCACTGTAGGGAGGTTAGAGCAAGAATAATGTTCATGTGGGTCTTGGATCTGGCCTTTTGAGGGGTCTTTTATTGTGCCTAGAAGATATATCTAGTGGAATCTAGGTAGATTGAAGACTAGTTTCTCGGCACCTTGTTGGGACAAATTAGGTCATAAATGGTCAAAATTAAGCAGGCACTGGAAGACAACCTTGTAATGACGTGAATATGAAATTACAAACTTGGGTGGAGAAGAGCACCAAGATTTTTCTCCTTGGTGAAAACCTCATCGCCAAGTCCTCAATGACTGTATGGTTGTGCAGTTTGTGTGGAAGTCCTAGAAGCGTCTCCTCCGTGTTGCCACTATTGAAGTGCAGAAACATTTTTGTGCGGGATTTAAAATACGACAGACCCCCCTTCAAGAGTAGTGACATCTAGACCTGCATCTGCCTTAATCTTCACCTAATCTACATGTCATCAGTGTAACAATGGAAGTTAACTCCCGATGGATGTTCTGGCCAAGTGGTAACGTAGATGCAGAACAGGACCCAGAACTGAGCCGTGTGGAACACCAGATGTCACTAAACTGGTGTCAGAGGCTCAATCACAAATATGCCAATATAATGAGTATGTATTAGAAATGTGAGACTTTATTGGTGTGAGTGATTATTTCCAGCGCAGAAGGAACAGTATGTCCAAAGCTTACCCATTTTTCATGTATAATAATGCTGCAGTATTTGCTCACTGCTTCAAGGGCTATTGAGCACTTTGTTTAATTCATGGACTTGAACATAGTACAAATAAAACAACTGTGAAGCTACAGAATGTGCAAGAAAATGTACAAGCCTCAAGAAAACGTTTTTAAAAGTATGTGTCTTTAAGTCATTCCACATGATTTTCTAAATGATAAAGTAGAAATGTAGGAGAGAGGGAGGCCATCTGGCCCATCTAATTAATTTGTATTATAGTAGCTAATTAATATGAGGATCTCGGACAGTTTTTGAAAGACGAAATTCCTTTTCCTGTAACTCTGTGTCAGGAAGTGACCTGATCTCTGTTTTAAATGCACTTCCTGTTGGTATCTGTTTGTGTTCTCTGGTGACTGCATCAGGCTGAATTGTTATAAAAAAACAGTAAACGTTTCAGCCATCCAAAGCATGACAATTTTTTCCACGTATTCCTCATTCTCAGTGCGAAAGGACAAGGCACCAGTGCAGAAACTTCTTTTAATTAAATTTCTTTTGTGTTCTTGCCTTCTTACTAACCTCATTTATTTCCATCAGAAAACTCCAGTCAACTCCTCTCTTATCCATTATTTACTTAGAAAGAAGAGATTAATAATGATGATTCATTGTATTTAAATAATTACGTTTCTTCAGTCTATTTACTTATCCCATGTCCTTAAGTCCTGGAACAAAATAAGGCACATTTCTCTAAATCTCTATTCCACATCTGCAGTATACTGTATCACTTTTTTTAAATTTAGAGAGCAAAACTGTGATGTGTATCCCCAACGTGGGGACACTGCACAGTATTGTTTGTTCTTATCGCATGTTATGTGGTATCAAGAAATCCACTCAACACGTCCCCTTTTCCTTCAATCGTTGCCCGCATTGGGTACGTGCGTCTTATATTTCTGATGCCTAGATGCCAATCTTCACTGATCCTGGGTTGCATCGCCATGCCATATTCTGTGTAGACCCCTCTCCATTGCTTGACTTCCATCACACTTGCTCATCGTTCCAGAGCAGCTCGTGTTGTACGCCTGGAGGTTTCTGTAGGAAGGGCTCTGTTCCTGTGCTCAAGCCACAGCATCAAGGCGATGTACGCGGCTGTGAAGCCCAAGCAGAGTGTAGGTTCTGATGCCCGTGTACCCAACAGCCAAGCCGGTTCTCTGTGGTTCCCGTGTGTCCACGGCCGCGTTGCGCTTCTCAGCGCCAGCTCTTGCCTCTCTCTGTTCTGTTCCCCTGCAGGTACTTCGTGCTGGACCTGGAGGCCCGGGTTCTGCAGTACTTTGTCGGCGAGCCCAGCAAGACCCAGAAGCCGCGGGGAGCGCTGCCTCTGGCCGGGGCCTCGGTGTCCCAGAGCGATGAGGCTCCCCACATGTTCGTTGTTTACTCCGCAAACGGCGAGCTCTATAAGCTCAGAGGTACAGCAGCAAGAACATGCGTTTCCGCCTCTTCATCCTCCGCTGTCCTTCTGTCTGTGTGTGTGTTCAAAAAGGGAATTTCAGAAAGCCTAGTTGTGTTTTAGATCTAGACTCAGGTGCCCAGGTATAGTAGTGTATTTTGCGGTGTCTTTGAAGGGCAGGAGTGCACTGTGATGCAGTGTTATTTCAGCTATGACAATTGTTACCCTTTGCGAAGACAGCTGCTTCCACCCGTAACCAAACTTCCTAACGCCTTCAGGCGGGTGTGTTGTAGGTCAGAAGGGCTCTCCTAATTACTCGCCCCTGCCAATAGCTGTCAGATGCATTTGCTTACAGTAAGAAGAAGGTCCACATTGATTTACCTCTGGAGTCGGAATGGGAATTGGATATTGACCTTTGTATTATCTGGGATCATTCCCTCTGGGTTAGAGCTGAGTGATTGAAGCCGAAGCTGATCACAGCTGACTATGAAATGGAAGAAGCTAAGTGTGGAATATGGGAAATAATTCAAATTGAGAAGTGCACTAATATGTGAACCCATCTGACGAAATCTGATGGGCTGAATGGTATCACTCTCGTATATAAAGAGCTATATAAAGTTATAAAGTATATACAGTTAACACCGCCTCCAGTGAGTTGTGTTGACACTGGAGAGGAATTATAGCACAGTGGAACTGGACAGGTGCACTGAACAAACAGATGTTCCCTTTGGCCCAGCTGCTGCTGGTCCGAGACTGGGCTGTGTCGCTTCACCGAGGAGGGACTCTCGGAGGGTCTCCGCCCATGTGGTGTTGAGCCCTCCGGCCTGGGTAGGCTAAATCTGACCCGGGCCGTCTGGACTGCCAGAGCATCACCTGCTCCTGAACCCGGCCAGATGCCTGTGGTCTCCTAGGGATGTGGGTGAGAGATCCCTCCTCTCTGTCGCCATCTCTCTCTGATGTCACTGCAGGCTTTCTTCCCAGGGCAGAAATGATGTATACACATTTTTTAAAGTGAATGTTTTTTATCAAAACTTGACCATCTTGCTAAAAGATAAATGCCATATAGAGTGAGCATGTACGAAATATTGACCTGTTATTTCAGGAAGACTGAGTGAGGTTTTAAACATCATTTACTGTGCCTCACAGGAGGTCTAGATTTGCAGAACTGGGGCTGTTGTGTTCATCACACTCATACAATATAAATGATGTGTAGAAGATTTGTCCAGCTTTATTAGTCTGATAATCTAATCAATTAAATTATCATGCTGTCCCCCATTAAAGAAAAGCAGTTCTAATTAACAGGATAATCCATAATCCTGAGCCGTTCTCAGTATGTTTTCATTTTTATTACATTTGCATAAGTCATCTGGATGGGTTATTTCTCTTTTTTTTAAAAAAAACCCTGCAAAGCAGTTTGAAATAGTCAAAGGTACAGCTGGTATAGTTCGGATGAGTATGAAAGGCTACTGTATAAGCATTTTAGATGAGGAGTTCCTAATAGAAAAGCATCAAATGAAACATTCATTTAAAATAGATCTAGATGTACCCATAGCAATTCCAGGAGGCCTGTGGTGAGTGACAACAGTGATTATGGGTCATTTAAAGAGGCTCAGGCTGAGGCGTCTGGTTGAAAAATTGTCCATGCCCCTTCCGTAGTTTTCTGATTTAAAAAGCTGCCATTGCAGAATCTGAGCTCTGCAAATAGAGCCCATTTAACAAGTAATAGCCGGAGTAGCACCTTATAAGCACAACCAGAAATGGTGTATTCATTTTCTTAAGTATTCATTTTTGAAAGACCCCAGGATGTGAAATCACCTGGGAAGACATTTTATGACCTTTACGTTTCTTCAGACTTAGTGGTTCCAGTCACTCATTTGTATGGCACTGTTTGCTGTTGGCAGAGAAACCCAGCTTTAAGTCTGAACATTCATTAGTGCTTCAGGTTGTTGCAGGAGTGCTAGACTTTTATAATTTACAGGGACCATCATTGCGAAGATGTTGTTCTTCAAAAAGTTGCAGCTGTTCCTGGTTTATAAATGTCACCTGACCAATTGTCTTTCACCAAGGTCATGTGACTGAGGGTGGCAGGTCAGTCCCCATTGTCACATGACCTTGGTGAAAGACAATTGGTCAAACCGCAGGAACGTTTGCAAGTTAATTTTTTCATTGAAAAGTTTAAATGAAACAGTTTTGTACAGCACCTCCTATTTACAGTCGTGTAATGGTTCTGACGACTTTTAAGGTTCAGAAAGGGACCACCATTCTTAATTATCAGTGCTCATTTGTTTATTGTGGACATTTCATTTTCCAGATATCTTATATTCCAAGATGTCAAATCTGTCTGTCCTAAGGTTTTTACACATGACTTTATGCCTGTCCCATGCTTGTTTTATTTCTCATCTTGACAATTTCCTGACTGAATGCATGTAGGTCTCGTGAAGACTGCCCTGAACGTGTAAAATTTCGGAGGATTAATAGTGACCAAAGTGTTAGTGTCGTAGATCCATATTCGAATGCAATGAAGCACTGCCGTTCTGACAAGACTGCCAAGGAAAGTGTGAAAACAAATGTTCTGACAATAACACTTCGACTGCTCGGGGAAATATCAACAGGTGCCAAATGAAAATAAACTGATCAAATGCAGGAGCAACATTGGCAAGATTGAGTAAACTTTGAGTCACAGTTTTCCCACTGTTTTTCTTTTGATAACAGACCTTTTTGTGTTTGTCTGTGGCTCGCTACTCTAATAAGTTCGTCGCAGAATTCCCGTGGTCTTGACTAATGTCCATCTGGAACACCTCTCGGTGTGCTTCACCCCGGAAGGACGCAGGCCGATGCTGATACTCTTTCTAAGGCAGCGATCTGCTGTCTGGTCGGCCATGGTGAGGGCCGCCTGGGCGGAACTCGTGAAGATCGCTTGATTGATCCTCTGCGTTAACTTATTTAACTTATTTCCTCGAGTGAATCCTCTGCATTAACTTCCTCCTTATTTCCTTGAATGAAGATTTCTCCTCTCGTCTTCCTGTAGCTGCTGATGCCAAGGAGCAGCAGTTCTGGATGAGCCAGCTGCAGGCCTGTGCCAAGCTCTCCGACAGCAGTGCCAAGGTACAGTCTGTATTGCAGTCAACACGTGGCGACCTTGACATGACACAGCCTCACACGCCCAGGGGAGCGCAGCGTTTAGCTGCCAGGCTGATTAATCCCAGAAGTTTTGACTGACGCTTCAGGAACAACATGCTTCTTTGAGGAATGAGGCAAGACCTGCCAGATATTGTGTAAATGCTGGTGAAGTAGCGAGGATGTCTCTTTGCATTAAAGAAAAAAACGACAACAGAAATTGTTACATTCTTTTAAGAAAGGGGGAATATTATATCTTATATCATGCTACTAAGAGGCCCTCCTAGCTCTAAGGCCCATCTCATCCTTGATGCACTCATGCTAATCTGCTTGGTCTCTATTTGCATCCTTCTGAATCGTTTAATAAATTATTGCAAGAATATAAAAATATTCACAGAACATCAAATCGCGGAGCTAAAGGAGATGTTAATTTAAGGGGAGCATAAGGCCATGAGATGTTTATTTAATGTAAAAGGGATAGCTTTAAATACAGTGTTACGCTTGTCCAGCACGTTAATTTCATGGTTTGTTAATGCAGCTGTGAATACGTCAGATTGATACTTGGTAACAGTTACTTATTTTTTTGTATCCTGAAATGTTCAGAAAGTTAATTAATGATGAGAAGGTAACATATCTGTACGATTTTCTGGAATGGTCAAAAATTGACACAATTATCTGACGGCTAACCTTGGCAAGCAGTGAAGAGGAAGTGTGCTCTAAAGCAGCTTTAGATTCTCGGTGAAATTGATGGGAGACCTGTAATCAAGGCCGATAATCCCGTCACACAAGGCAATGGAGAAGTAATTCTTCTTTTTAAAATGATAAACGGTTTTAGTCTTTAGCCTGCTCTGATGAGACCAGGAATGTCATCGCAGTCATCCTGTCTGAAATATATTAAACCAGAGTCCAGTGGCCCTGTGAAAGTGGTATAAAAAGCCTTAAATCAGGGGTTCCCAGTACTGCAGTCCTGTAGGACTCTTTACCTGCTGCTTTTCATTCCAGCTCATCTTAATTGCACAACTGAAGCCTTAATGGCACAAACAAATTGTTTGAGTGGAATATTTTACCAGTTGTTTTTTTTCTGCTTAGTGGTTGAGGTTTTTGTTTTACTTAGGAAATGCAACAACGGGAAGTCCGACGAGTATGAGGGCTGGAAATAATCAAAACATTCCAATTAACGCTATAATAAATAAGGTAATTAAGGGGTAAACTGTGTAATTAAAAGCACAGCGGAATCCATACCTGCAGGTGCTTGGTTCTCCAGAGCCAGGTTTGGAAACTTTACATGGATGGTTAATCTTGACAAAGTAATTGACATTTCATGCAAGCGTTTGCTTTATTTAGAAGCAGAACAACTACAGACATCTAAGTAACAGACCTCACCAAGATGGATTTATGACTCAGGGTTGGTTATGTCATGGAAAGCCTTTGAGTTTAAATCCAGTGCTAATGATTGTTTAAAGTTAATTAAAAAAAAACTGTAGCCAGGAGAAGAAATGCACAGAGGGAGATAATGGCTTCTATATGACAGACTGACAGGCCTGTTTTAAATGTGTACTTGGAATAAATTACAAAGCTGTCTATTAATAAGATGGAGCACAGCTTTGATTATATAACCCTATGAAGCTCATCCTTGCCGTTTACTGTTTGTTATAGGAATGACTTCTCAGAAATCAGCTGAAGACTGACCAAGTTTTCTGTCCGTGAGGTTTTGACTTCTATAAACTGAGGATCCTGTAGTTCGTCCTGAGTGTGCTTCCATTCCAGCTGAAAGAACAGTTCAGTGCACTGAGCATGTGAGCTGGTCAGATATGATTAGGTGAACCATTGATTCTCTCTGGGGTATTAAAAACCACCACTGAGCCTGTGACCTATTTTACTTTTCAGTTTCCATTCAGAGCTCTTAAATGTGTCACTGAAATTTGGATCTCCACTTGTCGTGCTCAATGCTATTTTTTACAAAGAAATCCAGGCATCAGTATTTTATAAATTAGAATGGTCTTTTACTTGCATTGGAGATGAGATTAAGGAGAAATGCTTTCCCACTAGTTTTTCAGAAGCCTCTCAATTTAAGACGTCCTTCCTGTCTTGCTGTGGTACAGATACATGCCGAGACATGATGGCACATCATCTTTACAATATAAAAAGAAGATACTCCTGAGTTTTTTTTTTACATTCATCCTTTCTACCAGCTGTGCCACACTTCTTAGAGATAAATCACATCATTTTAGAAATATTTTTTTTCCTTTTGTATTTAGACTCTTTCTCCCAGTTGGCGAGAAAGACAGACCAAACACACCATTCTAGATCACACACTGCAGCTGTTTTTAGAGCACTAGACTCCCTTGCTATTAGAAAGCTTTTATTTTAATCAGCTGTTAGGGGTATAGTTCTGGTTACACATTTTTCTCTTTGCCCCATCGTTTATCAACAATGACTGTGGGAGCATTTTTTATTATTGCACTTCTGTGGTGCTGGATTAATTTTCATTCAGTTAGGTAAGCTCTCCCCCTATGAAGTCCCACAATTTCATCTTCACTGTGGAGGGCTGCACCTCAGGTTACAAGGCTGTCATTTTGAAATGGCAAAATTGCAGTTGCTTCTACTCAAAGAGTTTTGAGCCGTGTGCCAAATTGCTTATCTCCTGAACAGGCAGAATTGGATTTTTCACAGACATTTGGCAGTAAATTGATTTGCTGTTGGATTTTTCTTTGTATGCTGCTTTCCTGTTAGCTTATCCTGTGTTTTTTCCAGTTCTTTGTCAGGGCGTGAGTCAGGCAGACACACTGAATCACCTCCAGGAGTGCTGTTAATGTTTGTGTAAAGAGGAATTTGTTTCACTGTCATTTGGAAAAGGATAGGAGGACAGCAAAAATTCAGCCTTCCTTCTGTGGCATTAACCCGAATGATGGCAGGAAAGTGTTTTTGGGAGACGTAGCTCGCAAAGAAGAAACAAAATGTTCTTCGGTGTGTTTGAAATCTCTTTTATTTTTAAGATAACCTTAATAACTACTGTGGCAGTCTGCATCCGAACTCCTTAACTTGGGAGTAGAGAGTGTGTTAACTGGGACTGTGAAGGTGGAAGTTGGAAAGGGACTTCTTCTGCCCTGATCTTCTGTCTCTCGTGACTGTCAGTCTGAAAAGAGCTGTTGATGGTAATCATACTTTTATAAAACCATCGGAGATTCCAGTTTGCGTTTCCATAGTTTCCTATGCAGCATAAGGCCACCACATTCTGACGGTATACTTTGTTGGAGTGTAAATCAACTCCAACAAATGGCATTTGGGCAATTTCATCGCTTTGATAATGCATTATTTTGGGCTGGGTGACTTAAATCATCTCTGTGTTAATTGAGTCAGAAAATCAGCTTAATGAATTCCTGAAGGGGGTCTCCTAAGAATGCTCAGCTGGTGAAGGCTGTGTGCGTACCATGGGAGTAATCCTGTGTAATATTATAGTATCTGCAAGATCTTGAAATATTGTAAAAATAATTGACTGATCTTGAAGAATTAGAAAGTGCCTTCAGTTATGCTGCATTCCACAGAGAACAAGTACACTGTTATGTTATTTGATTAGCTGGGAAGATGCTCGTGCCCATACAGTACATGTATGAAATGTTTAACCATAGGTGGTATATGTACAACCAGAGAAGTCAACGAAATGACACAGGAGCTGAAAGTGCAAAGCGAGTGCTGGACCTGGCAAACTCAAAGGTAAAGTTAAAAAAAAATGCAAAAGTAATAGATCGTTGATTTATAAAACACACAGGCTATAGAACAGGAGTACGTTTTTTTTTAACGGAGGTAAAGGCAACCTTAATGAAATTAAAAATCATTCAGCAGACCTAATTTTATAACATACATGTAGGTCTTTTTCGAATGTCAAAATTGTTTCCGATTTTGGGAGGGTACGTTGTTAGTGGTATCAGAGCAGTATGTCCGCCTGGAGCATGTACTGTAGCTGTGAGGTAGAGCCAGAAATAAGGTTTTCTCAGCCTTTCGATGGGGACTTCAAGGACCCAAGAGTGTTGACTGTTCCCGGCTTTCAACTCTTAAGGCGCACTTATTGAGAAGTTGGTTTGCTGTGTAGATAATGTTGGTGTATTTCCTCGAGGACTTTACTGTCAGAGAAGCGACTGTAGTGTTTTTACTGGCTTTGCTCCTGGCACAAAGGCATTTGATAACCCAAGAGACGGCTTTCGCAGTCACAACTTTTGAGTATTATTTCTAAACCGAGACGGGAGCGTCATGTTTCACAGCGAATCAGTATTTGGTTAAAGTTTTGTGGAGTTCTGAAGCTGCTCACAGCTTCATGGATTTGTCATTCTTCAGCCTAATGTCTCTTGGCTTGTGCCCTTTCATTCTGGTGTTTTTAGGCAACAAGAGTTGAATGGTTTGTAAGATTCGGAAGTTAGGCCTCTGGGACACCTTGTCTGTGAATTTCTACTATACATAGGGAAACTTGTGTTGTGTATTGGTGCTGCGTGTATTGTCACAGTTGATAAATGTTTGTTTAACTGAGTGTGCCTGAAGTATTGCTCTTCTCACCACAGCTGTGGTAGAGGACAAAGAATTCATGTGCCTCTGACTACACCAACTGCTTGGGTATATTCTTGGCAAAATCCTTACAAGTTTGGGGTTCTAATAGTTTTTTATCCTTATTGATTTATCCGCTCCGTCATTTCCTGATTTTCTTCATTTTTATAACCCCCCCACCATTTGTAACAATATACAGTTAGGAAATTTTCTTCTCTGCAAAGAAGTAACTACACTTAATTTTAAATTCATTTCCAATGAAAAAAAATAGTAATCCAGATAGACAATGTGCATATTTCACCTTCATGCAAGAAAGCCTGAATTGAAGTGTCCTTCTTAATTAAGTGATAACTCCTGGTCATGCTCTTGAGCTGTTTGTCCCGGCTGTGAAAATGAAGAAGCAGCTTCCAGTGTATTAGTATCTCCACTCGGTGCACCACGGAAATCGTGTGTATCTCCACCAAAGCTCAGACTTTGAGTTCCACCCATCCAGCTAATTTTACTTATTTAAAGGTGTTTTTTTCTGCATAGTGAATAGCTTTATTGCTTTATTGCTAAAACCAATGCTGTAGTATTGTTTTCACATTTGGTTCTCAACAGTATTTTTTTTTTCCTTGAAATACCCGAAATCCATTTTTCTTTGCTTTGTTAAAGTGACACTTTATATGGCTCCCTGTCATAAGACTGTCATGGGCGAAGCTTCACCACAGTATCTTCTCCATAATGTTCCTTACAAAAGTGAACAACAGTTCATTATCTTTCTAACTCAATACATTAAGTGGTTTTAGATTCTAGCAGCAAAACAGTAGTTTTGTGTGCGTGTGGTACAGTGTGTGTGTGAATTCATGTAAAGCATGAATTATTTGAAGATGGTATTGCGTGTAATTAGCTTTCGGCACAGGGAGCTGGCAGCACAGCTTGCAGCTGTGGTCTGTGATAGCTTGTCCCAATTCTCCCTGCTCTGATCTAGCCTGGCTTCTGCAAGGTTCCATTCCACGCTACAAAAGAAACTCTTAACCTCAAAAGGAAGCATCAAGACTTCAGTTTTAGATAGGCTTCTGTGCTTCAGAGCCACCAGGTTCTCTGGCCTTCAACGCAGTTCAGCAGCAGCGGCTGTTTTTCTCCTAAAGTAAATAGCACTTCCATGTTCTTGTTTATTGTTGTTGTTCATGCAGGCCTATTCCCTTTTCTGAACTGGAATTCACATTATCGTGATTGTTACTTCATGTTCCTCAAGTTTTTCCTTTTCTACCAAATGACCTGGAGAACGTTAATAGAGAGAAAATGACCGTCCAGGGTCAAGCAGGATGTTGTAGTTGAAACACTTCTGATATCAGTTTTTTGTTTTTGTGATGTTAATTTTGTATTGTTTTTAATAGACAAAGATCATTGGTCATCTCTGTTAACAACTTGATGTGGTCGACGCTTTGCTGACATTTTGAGAAAGTGCAGAGCAGGTTGGTGTCGAGTGTTAAGATGATCTAAAGTCAGTCTTTCACCACTGTGGGCTGAAGTTTATTGTGGTTCTGCTGCAAAGGGAGTTTATCTGAACCGGATTTCTAGTGGATTAATTTCTCCATAGAGTTCTTTTCTAGCTGAATAGTATTAACATACACAGATAAGTGTATGCAGACACAGTGTACACCTTTAGCTCTTACTTAAAAGAACACAGTTCACATTAAACAGGACCAATATTCAGCGTTTTTCTCTTCTGGGCTGACTTGTTACGCAGTCACATTGCTAGACAGGGACCTCTTGAGTCAGATAATGGTAGATCAGCACAGAACGACAGGTCCGCAGAGGGGGGCCGGACTTTCATTTGCAGTATAACAGGAAAGGCTGATATTTTTTTTCAAAAGCAATAGATTTTTAGTTGTCGCATGATTTGGTAAGAAACTGCGTGCGCTGATTGCAGGAAAGTTATTCTTGTCTTCTGAATAGACAGGTTTGTCAAAATATGGGTCAGTCAGTGTGCAGACAGCAGAATGGAGTCTTACATAACAAAATATGGAAACTGCAGCTTACATTTTGTATGTTTATCTCTTTGTTTTTAGTGTGCATGCTGTTATTTCATCCTGATTATTTGAATATCCGGCACTTAGTTTTCTGCTCAGTCAGCCTCAGGTGTTATGAAGTGAATTTATCTACCATTTCAAGATAATTTTGTGTAGTTAAAAGCAGTCAAACTGTTGTCTTCTTACTGTGTCTATATGAACAATCACTGAGCTGCCTTCTGCATATCACATTTAGGTATGTATTTATCTAAAAAATGTAAAATTTATTTACTTTTAAAATAAAGTTTTAAACAGATTTTTATAAACTAATTATACCACATATTTTTTTTGTCTAGAAGGAGTTCTGGAAGGTCTGTTACCTCTCCCACACTGAAAGTTAGGCCAAGAGAAACTCATTCTGTCATATCAGTGTCATATTAAATCCTGCTATCTGAATAAGAATCGCAGGGCTGTCTTCCTTAACTAACAATACCAGCGATGGAAGAGAGCCTTAATTTATACTGAGAGGTGAGAGAAAAACCACAGGCTTAACAACAACAAAACGACATCAGTTTATTATTTCCCTGGGACATTGTCCTCTGAAAAAGACTTAAATTAATCTAGTCATCGTGCCCAGAAGATTGCTTTAAAGCAGGTTGAATATGTTCCATTCTCAAATCAACATGAAACTTTACATTAGGTCTATTTATAATATTTGCCGCATAAAGACTGCTTTAGATTTTCAGACAGAGGCTGATTTTTCTTGTGCCAATCACCAGTTATACAGTGATATACAAAAAAAAACAGGGGAAAAGCCTTTCAAAATTTAACCACAATTAGCCTTTTATGGAGTATTTTTTAAATCATGTTTTCTCTAATTTGTTCAGTCCTAGGATTATAAAATCTTTTAAGTAAGTGTTTTGCAGCTGGGAGCTAGAGGCTAGAAAATGCTAACAAAAGACTTATTAAATGCCTGCCCAAACCATATTATATTGCCTTCATCAGGTGTGTAGTTTTTAGTTGTTTTTAAAAAAAGTTGATGTCCGAGCAAAGGGGTGCAGTACATGTATACGTCTGCATTATTCGTGTTAGCTAACGGGGAAGCTGCTTCTGGTGCGAAAAAAGACGCTTTAGTTTTGTATGTGTATAGATGGCATCTCCCGGTATTCCCAAGCTCTGAGCCAGCGGTCCGCACACTTCCCGGATGGAGCAAAGGCGAGGAGGCATGCGCCCGGCCCCTCGGGCCCCGGTCTGGCGTGTCTGCCTGACGCCCCCCCCCCGCTGTCTGTTCCAGGGCTCTGCGGCCGGCCGGACCCGGAGCTTCTCTCTCCTGCCACACGGGGGCGCCAACACCTCCTCGCCCGGCTCCCAGAAACAGCTGCCCCACGGCGGGGGGTCCAGCATCGTCACCATCACCCACCACAAGTCTCCCGCCGCCGCCCGCAGAGCCAAGAACCAGTATCCGGGGCGCCTGCTGGAGGTGAAGGAGGTAGGGCAGTCGCCGTCACGGCCTTCCTGCGTTTCCCCGGCCGCTTGCACTCCGAGCTCAACCCTGGCCACCTAGTGTATCGCCGCCCTCTGTCGGTTCGTTATTCTCGGGTAAGGTGTGGACGTGGGACCAGCACGCGTGTGGAGCAAGTGCACAGAAAATGGCCACGTTTGGAAGGAGGTTCTGACTAAAGATTTGTATTGTCGTCACCAACCCAAAATAAAGTACTAGAACGTAGTTTATTACCATGTTTGAAGCCTTAAGATAGAAAACAGCCCTTACTAAAGGTAATTACTTGGCATTGCTGTAACACTTTTTAGCTAATGCTTACCTAGTTTATCATTAGGTAATTGAGTTTATATAGTTTTAACCAGATAATCATTCTGTTCTACTGTGCAATATGCTGTACACAATCACAATCTCCTAAAGGTTGTCCTACCTCTGTTTTCCTAATTCCGTCTTCATTGTTCGAAAAGACAGCACTAATATAGGTGTTTCCTCTCATATGCACACTGGCATATTGAGCAAGAAAAATAACTATGTGTGCTACTACAGTTTCGGTCACTGAAGGCCCTGAAGGTTTTCTCAGTCTGTGTGTGGAAAATTAAAATCTCCCATGCTGACTAGTTCATCCTTTACACACACACATACTTCCTTCCTGATTTTTATAAGACTGCATTGCAATTAAGATATGAATTTGGTAGTCTATACTATTCTCCTATCTCTGTTGTCTTTGAATATTTTAGAAGGCTGTCCCTAGATTTGAGGCCCTTTAGTTCATTTAAATTCCTGTAACTGAATGTGCTTGCTGTTTATAGCGTTATACCCGCTCATCACCTTCGCTGTCTCTTTAGAATAATATGTTTCCACAAATCCTCTGGTCTTCCCCATCACTCTGTGTTACCCGGTGTCTGCGTTTCTATAAGCATAATGTGCTACACCTCACAAACCTCAGGGGCTCCTTTCAGTGCGTTTACACTGCAATAAGTCAGAGCCTGGCTGGCTCTACAGTATGTCAGCAGTTCTCATCATTGAAAGATGGCTGATGAAATCACAAAGCTTGATTGACGAAGGGTTAACGAGTGCTGATGAAATGGCTTTGCAAATTAATGGAATGACCCGTCTTTTATCCCTTGGGTCTCTCTAAGCCTGAGGTAACATTCATGCACTGCTCTTAAGCAAGTTTAAGAGACTAAAGCAAACAGGATTTTTTTTTTGTGGCTGTAAGATGATTTTTAGAATCTTTCAGAATTTCCAGAACTGGAGCCTGAGCACTTGAATATACCCATTAAATTGGCTCAGATGTTAAATTGGAAGTTAGAGCCCTGTTGTTTTGCTGAAAAGCACAACACAAAGTATCTCTGATGCAGAAGTTGCTTTGCACAGAGAACCACATGAAACGGATATATCAGTGAAGTTCTCCAACATGTGCTTCAGAGAGCACTCCCTTGTATCCTGGCTGCTGTATGTGTTGAAATTACTGGTGGAAACTTCTCAGTCATGGATCAGGTTATCTAAATTCAACATATTTCTACATTTATTTCCTTCTTCTAAAGCTGTTTCTGAAAAATTAACTTAGGAGCAATAAATGAATTCTTACAATTTGATGTCCATAAAATAGCAGAAATAGTTATTTTCACTTGCTATCCTTAAACATGCTTTAGTCATCCCAGTTTATCAACATTTGATAAATCTATTTAAGCAAAATAGTGTAGTAGTGTGGCTGAAAAACATTTTGATTGCAGTGCACATTTCAAGATCCTTCTTATATATTCAAAGAAACTTGATTATGTAGTATATATTCTACACAATAGCGCATGGCTATGAAATTTAAAAAGTTAAAGATTTCAGTTAAAATAGTTGTAGATTACAGTTAACATGGCAATATTTTGTTCATGTTAATGCAGTTAAATAAGAGTGAACTTGGTGCGTGTTTTGCCAGGCCAAATGGTCAGTTAATGTTACCTTAGAAGTCAGCCTTTTCTGTCCTAGTTAGCCCTCAAAATTCTATATTGTTTTGTATGTGTAGCAATATATAGTGTTCAGTAGGTGGAATTGGACAGAAGTAGGATTCTGCATAGATAACAGACACATTGTGTTGTGAATTTACTTTCTACTTTAAACGTCAGGAAAGTGGTTTGAAATGGGTAAACCTAAATCCTTTAAGGGAAGCATGCCGTATTAATGTTTTGTCATATGGGTAAATATTTTACTACTTTATTACTTAGCTTGGTCTTCCACAGTATTCTGTTCAGCAGTTCACTGTGGTTTATTTCATAGTTTAAATATAAACACAGTCCTTGTGATATATTTGTTTTATGAAAACATCTACAGAATGATATGTGCTGGTCTCCATGACAACACAGAGTTCTCTATTTAAAAAAAAAAATTAATGCTGAAGGGGTGAAGTTACAGAATACCAGGGAATGAAAGAACTGTCTGAGAGCAGTGTTATAAAGCACCTCTTCTAGGTGTTATTTTTTATTACTGTCACAAGAACATAATAGCAGCTATCATTGCTTTCTTTCTGCAAATTGCTGAATCCATTACCATTTTTTTTTGAAAAAGTCAATAATCCACCTACCAGTTTATGACAGAAGCGATGTGTAAAAACAGTGGGGAAACTGCACTGCATCATCAAGTCAAGGGAAACGAGGAGCTGTGGAACGCTGGTTTTCTTTTGGCTGCTGATGGGCTCAGAACAGAAGGCGTCTGTGGCGGACGCTGACTCTTTCCATGGCTTGCTCTGAGCAGTGCCTTTAGCTCATACAGTATGTGTCTTCTTGGCTCTAAGAGTTGGAAAATGGGATTTGAATGGAATGACCAGAGTTCGAATAGGATTACCAGAGGAGTTTGACCCTCTGCCACTGACATTGAATATCACTCTATGAATTGTTGTCAAAACATCAGGGGTATCTGGTGTGGATTTCAGAAGGTTTCTTTGAAATAATTTGTCAGTGGGAACCTTCAGTTTCATCCCTTCCACTGAAATGAGTGTGTTATTGAAGGATAGAGGGGGCGTATAGCTGAGCCCGTGTGGTATCTGTGTGCCTTTACCTATTGCTTGCTCCATAGGAAATGCAGCTTTTTCTCCAAATGTTGTGCTCAGGTTTCCAGCAATCTTCTCTAGCAGCGTTGTACAGAATTTTGTGTTTGTAATGCATGCAATTTATTTTAATTAGAAAGAATCTTGTATGTTGGTTCTTTTACCAACTCATAATTGGATACCTGTCGGTAAATATTTTCGACAGTATTATCACTGTAAGGGAATTCAGATGGTCTCATCTCAATATCCTCAGAAACTGCTGCTTCAGACAGGTGAAGCTCTCCGCATCAGGACTAAATACTGCAGTAAAGATCTTACACCACCTGTAAAAGAAAAGAGCTGTGAAGGGCCCTTTTTGTTTTGGTATTCTGAGATATTTATTTCACGGGACGTAATGATGAGTCACTGTCAAACAAAGAGTACCTTTATAAGAGGCTGGAATAATGTGCCTGTTTAAATTCAGCACTTCAAGACTGCGGTAATGTAGAACTCTTCAGAAAGAAATTGGTTCTGTTTAATGGTCTTTTTAAAGTTAAATTACATTCAGTGAAGTTAAAAACAAAGTGAGGTATGCGCCCTTAACAAAGAGACCTCAGAGGACCTTCTTACCTGTATAACAGTGTCACCTTGTCCTGCACACACTCAGAGCTTTTAGAGAATGTCATTGCTCACCACTTCAACAGCTTAGGGGCACAGCTACCGAAATGAGAACTATGGCATTTGCCATCAGATATTTTCCAATAAAAACAGAGGTGTGCAGACAGAAAATTATGTATTCCCAATGAATTATTTTAACATCAGAGAGTTTATTGTATATTGACATTATTAAAGGATTTTTTCTAAACTGTCTGGAGTTTAATGGTCCCAATATATATATAAAAAAAAACCCATAAAGTTGTCTCCATACAGATCATTCGTAAAAAGCCAAATGATAAATGATAAGTGGTCTTAGTCTGTGCTTCCCTTGGGAACAATGTGAAAAATGCTCCCAGCTCCTCATTATTATACTCCTCGCTTTTATGCTTTAATTCTGTAATTTCTCTTTTGAGTGGGTACCAAGAGGTGCAATATGGTGACGCACTGTAAGATCATTGTGGAGTTGGCTTTTCCTTTTACTGCATGATGGCTGTCGTTTGTTGAGAGAAGAGAAAGAGTGCCAGTTGTGGAATGTTAAACAGGCGATTTCTATTTGTAATGAACTTGCTGATGGAAACGCTGGATGTCTGTGTTTCATAGCCATCTGGTGTGGGACAGAAAATGAGCATTTGGATGGAGAGGAATCAATTTTTCATTAAGGATTAGAAATGAGAATACTGTAGGTATCCAAGTTCCTTATCCAAGATGCTACTCTTTTTACTCTCACAGCTGACATTGCCAAATTGTTTGATTTGGTGTGTTATGAACCAATATACTGTCCCATTCTTGCCTTTAAAGCACTTTACTTTTCCGTAGCACTATTCTATACAGCATAGCATCGTAATATTTTCTGTTTCTAAGCCTATGCCAGGAAGAAGGAAAGATGACAACGTTTTTATGAAAAGACGTTTTTTCCGAAAGCAGGATTTTCAAACAATTGACACATGAGCGTAGTACGGTTTGTCCCTTCATGTGTGCCTTGAGTCCAGACCGACGCTTCAGAAATTTCTAAATTAGGAAAGAAATGGCTTTAACCATTGCCTCTGTTTGTAATTCGGTAACGACGTGGGAAGAGTTACACACAAGAGGGTTCAGGTATCTCACTCATGGGGTGCTAGCAGTTCAGTGTTCAGAGTGTTCTTTATCCGTCATAAGGAGTCCCAACAGAACCGGCTTCAGCCACATGTCCTGAGAGCTGGCTCCTGAGTCCCACAGTGCTCTGGGGTCAGAAGTGTCTCCTGAACTTAATTTCCACTCGTTCCCCCTGAGTGCCTGGATTGCTGCTGATCTTGATGGAGTCCCCCAAGTTGCAATAGTCGGTCCCTTTTCCTCTCTGTTCCTCTCCACAGAAGTTCAGCTCCTGCTGCTTTCATGACCAGGTGACGTTTTGTTTTCACCCTTTGGGATGTTTCTCTGGAAGGTTTAACCGCTTGGAAAGATGGCTGTGAAGAACTGATCTTTGAACGTGACACGTGTGCACTGGGGTTCTGCTGCAGGCTTTCACTGATGGTACACTCCAGGCTCTACTGTCTGCAAGGTCCTGGTTCAGATCCAGGCTGTGCAAATGGCTGACTGGGTTTCAGCTGATTCCCACTATATAATAAATGGGCACATTGATTGCAAAGCTCCCTTTGTAAAATTATGGTTTGCTAACTTACAGCTGTAACATGACTCTTTATAAAGTGTTTTGAAGGAGAGCTCTCCATAAGAGGGTCCTGTGCAACCTAAAAATGGATCATTTATGATTAAAAAAAAAACAACAACATTCTTTTGTGGCTTACTAGGACAAAACTGGATTATTTTCTTACCAACAGCATTTTTAAGCCATGATTGAAATTCTACCACATGCTTACTGTTTTCGTTTGAGAAGTTTCCATTCTTTCAGTGTGTCTCATACAGAGGCAAGGTGTTGGAGAATATGCATTATTTGTGTGGGCAGCAGGTACTTATGGTCATACATTGACAAAGGATTCTAGTAATTATAGTAATCATCAGCTATATTTTACTTAAAGCCAGCACTTGGCACTGTTCCATGTGTACAGATTCAGTCTGTGGTTTTAGGGAGATGCTGCCCTGCTCTGTTTGAAATTTATTATTGGGCATCCGTTAGCAGTAGATAAGATGGAAGGCAGCTTGTCACACCTGTGAGTTCCTTATAATTTGTCCTGTGGAGGCTTTTATAGCCAGTGATTCATTGCTGCCCAGATGTCTTACTGCTCCCTGAGCCACAGGGAGAAATTAATGTGTTTTGGTTTCCAGTGATGGATTGAAGCACTTTTCTGGGGGATCTACTATCCATGAGTTTTTTTTTTTCCGGCAAAGTACAATATAGTTCATTGCTCTTGAAATATATCAGATCAGTCTGTATACGTTCTCTAAAGCACTCCAAAACAGCCATTTATGAGCTAATTGCCCTTGCAGGCACTTCAGTGGGATGCACTTCCGGTTCTTAGACTGGGTGTAAAAAATGTCTTTATGGGTATTTGTAGAGTAGATGTGTTTTTTAATGCTGTGCTCTTGATTTTGGCACCTAGGCGTCTGCGGGCTACGTTCTGCAGCGGATGCTGTCTGAAATGGAGGTCATGTGAAGACCACATGTCATTGGTGCACAAGTGATCACTCTACCTCCGTTCTGCTGGGTAGAATTCCGATCCCTTCCCATTCCCCGGTTCCTGGACCCTACAAGCTCCCAAGAATTTGCTGTACTTACACAAATTTCCTAGCCAACGTGTTTTTGGAAAGCTGCTTGTCGTGGTGGGGTGGCAACAACAGGCAGCAGGCACAAGAGTGATCTGACCCTGGACGGGACGCCAGTTCATTGCCTGACCTTAGAACAGCAAATCAAAGCCAGCCAGTATGTTTCGGGGGGTGGGAGGCACCCTGATAAAATCTATCACCCAGGAAAGTCCCACACAAATGCGGGAGTTACTGTATGTAAAAAAACCCATGCCTTCTACAGACGGAATTGATTTTCACTGAGAGGCAACTTCAAATTACACTAGCAATTCCCATGGTGCATTTCGATAACGGCCCCGGAGCATTTTCGACAGACAGCTAGAAGCTTTGAGGTCAGATAATGGGGATGATTCAAGACGCTTCTGTTGCTGACTCTGTATAATATTTTGTTCCTCCCTTTTCAAAGGAATAAGTATTTCCCCTATGAGATAATTAATTTTACATTCTTTATAATCCGCTAAGAAATGAGGGCAGTGTTGCCTTATGTATCAGAGTACAGTAAGTACCTTTAAATTCAGTGGCTTCATGGTATTGTATTTTTGTACATTCTTGCAGGCCCTGTGTCTTGCTACTCTCAACAGTTTTTTAAAGAGCATAAAGCTTCTCAAACCATAACAGTAGCATTATAGTTTTTTGCAGTTTGACCTGGGAAAGATGGCTGTATCCTGTCATGTAATTTATATTAATTTTCCCTGCTAAAGCGCTGTCAGTGTAGTGATGCCTTTGGGACTAAAACAGGTGGTTGAATCCCTCTCTCTGAATGTGGCTTTTAAGAATCCTGTTTCCAGCAGTGGAAGTACTGTATGTTTGAGTAATTAGGAGCAAAGCCTGTGACCGGTGTTTTATTCTGTGGGCTAAAATTTCTTAAATGAATCATGAAAGTGGTGAAGCAATAAATCTTAAAAAGCAAACATGATGCCTCTGAAGATCCCTCAAGGCTCCTCAATGAAATATCCGATTTAAACAACAATGAGTTACGGAAAGGAAATAATGAGATGGTTATTCGAAGATGCAGAATTGACTAGATTACGTTTATGTAAAAAAAGATTAGGGATATGAATGCACAGAGCTTCAGGGGGCAAGGGAATAAGACAGAAATGAGAAAAATCTGCCAGTGAAGGTGATTTCAGCACAGGGTTTTAGGGGGCAGTCTGATCGTCTGCAGGAGAGGCTCCGTGTTGCCGTTCGTGGTCATTAGCTTTTTTCGAGCTCTTTGCCTGCAGTGAGGATAGTCTAATTCAGATGTCATTTCCGCAGGGTTCACAACCTCAGTTGAAGTCCTCAGTGCGTGAAGACTGGAGGTTGCCCTTGTCTCTTGGCAAATTAATTTACCTCCAGAGGCACTAGAGGGGTGGGCAGACAGGGCTGGGGACAAAGCACAGAGGAACTGCTTCGATGAAGACATCGCAAGCACGCTGTACATTGTACACTGTATGGTGTATTACCCTTAACCCGTGTGAACAGGAGTTCAAGTTCCGCGTGCTTAAATAAATAAATCGAGAACACAGTACACCTTCACTTAATAAGGAGTCAAGAATTGCTTAATGTGTCATATAGTGGTCAAAACATTATACTGTAGTGGTTATGGTGAAAAGGTTATGAATGAAAAAGTCTGCTCTGTTTAGAATGGTAGTATGCAGTGCAGAAGTCTAAAACAAAACGTATAAAGAGAGACATTAAAAACACAACAAATGCTATTGGTTCCATTACTCATTGGTTGCATTTTCAGGTCTTGGTATATATTAATTTAAACGTAGCACTATTTCATAAACATATTCAATACAGAAAATGCAAACTTGGTATGAGAGTAATGCTATACTTTCAATAACAGTTGTTCAATTGCCTGTTTGTGTGTATATATATATCAAAAAGAACATTCGCTGAAAGCAAATGAACGAATGAAGACACAATCCGGTTGTTTACTTGCGCTACGTTCTCATAGTCCTATGACATCCGTGTTTGCAGCAGGAGCAGAATTATGAGTCGGTGCTTCCAAAGGTTTTCGCACGACGGAGCCCCTCTGATCTCCGTGGCCCGGTCTTGCCCCGCAGCCGGCGGAAAGCCCCGGTCGCTGACCCTGCCTTCCCCTGTCGTGTCACTCAGATCATGAGCCAGGCCGAGGGACAGCAGAAGAACCTGGTGCACTCCATCGAGTCCCTCCCTGCCAAGGGGCCGCTGTCCGCCCTGGACCCGGATCTGCTGCTGCTCAAAGCTACATCAGCAGCCACCCTCAGCTGCCTGGGAGAGTGCCTCAATATCCTGCAGCAGAACGTCAGCCAGGCCACCCAGCAGAGCAGGGGGGTGCCCACTGGTGAGTCCGGTCGCTGCTCGTTCGCGCTGCAGGGCGTCCAGGGAGGGGAAGAAGAGGAAGTGAAGGTCTCCTCTTGCTCAGAACCTTTAGTTCTTCTTTCTGGGACCCGGGTTTGGTTAATGCTGCTCACGGTCTTGTTGGCTCGTGCCATGTTTACCCGAATATGCGCCGACACTGAATATAAGCCACGCCCGGAAATCTGGGCTGTGGAATTTGGGGGGGGGGGAGGACTTCACAAAGCACAGATTACATTCCTGAATAGAAATAGTTGAAATTACAAAAATTCCCTTGGTTCTAAATATATAAATGAAAATGGATGGTAAAGTCCCTCATTCAATATTAATCCTAATAATGAAATGGACTGGACAGCGCTAATATTTGCATTTTTATGATATAGTGCTCAGCAGCCCTTTAACACTCTGTCTTGCAGGGCTGCAATTGCTCTGGTTTTGTACCCCTGTGAGTTGCTAACTAATTCATTAAGTGATTACTTACTTAAACGGTCGTGTATTTCTCCTCTCTAAGGTGTTGAGTGGTTGTGAATTAAAGGACGGGGTTCTGATTAAACACGTTCGACCCATTCTCTACGTTTTCCTTGAGTAGCCACGCGGATAGAACATATTTCTAGAGACAAGTACAGTTCAAACAGTGCTCTGCAAGTCTTAGAAAAAGCGGTAGCATATGGAAACCATTCTTGAGCTCTACTGTATATTCTGTAGGGGGGGAACGAGTATTTGTTCTGAATTTTCCAGACACAGAATGAAAAAGAACAATACACCGTTTCAACAGAACCTGCTGTGTTGATGATGTGCTTGTGGTCGTGTCCTTTATGTCTGCAGTTACTGTGTGTTGCAACTCAGGCAAGTAGTCGGGAGAAGGAAGACTGTACAGCAAGTATCCAAAGCTCCCTCATGCTGCCTGCCTGCTGCACATCAGAGATAAACCCAAGTAATAAAAGGAGAGTTTAGCAGCACCTCTGTTGCATGTTACAGTACCTGAGTAAAACTGCTGTACTGTAGATAGACTGGAGAATCCCAGCACTGGTTTAATGGCATGATTGAAGGCAGCAGTATCTTCAGAAACCCAAACCCAAGGTTTAATGTGCTTAGACATGTATACAGAAGCACCCAAAGGTTGCATGGCTGCATAATCTTTCAGCATGCAGTGGGAATGGAGTTGCTCAGAGGTGCATGCATTCATAGTCAAGAGGATGAATATCAGATTGCTCCCACTTTTAACTTTAAATGACCAGCGCTGCAGTGCATTGGACTGAAGGGTCATTTCAGAAGAAACAACAATAAAACATCAGGTGAAAAGTCATCTGTCCCTTGGACAGGAGGGCGTTAGCTCTGAGCTGTCTGGTTCTGTGCTGGGAACACACTCAGTGGGGAGGGCAGTGTCTCTTTGTCAGGGCAGCTCAGTGAGCATAATCAGCCTGCTGCCGTCTGGAGCTCCTGCACTTTCAGTGCTCCAGTTTCACTAGCTTCTGCCTGGGCTGATGGAAGATTTCTTTTTCACTGTTGTTGGGAGATGCAAGGAAAAGGAACTGCAAGTTGCAGAAGACTCTCGCTGTGCCAGATCACAGACAGACAGGGGCGTGCTGTGCGGTTCTGAGACTGACAGATTCAAGCCCACTTATCCCACTTCTTTTCTGCTTTCACCAATTATACCAAATACTTTTACCTGTTTCTACCACATACAGCCCTTTCCCACTCATTTTAGATTCTGTGCTGGTACTTTCTGATAGTAGTTTCTTTTGAATTATAGAAAGATTCCAGGTGCAATCGCCAGGTGTGTTGTTTTTGACTATTTAGGGTTTCAATATCCCCGCCTTTCCAGCCCATTAGGGTTTTAAGCTGTGGCTGCAATTACTACATAAACGTGTGAGGTGCTTAAGATTGAAAGGGTAGCTTAGCTTTTTCAATTTTATGTACTTTATTTGCATACGTGAAATGCTTGCACAATTTTTATGCACTTAACCCTTGTATCCGCACTTCTTATCAGCCCAAACCCATTATTTGTTTCAAAAATGTAAATAGTGACTATTTTGCTACTGTTTGTGCTGATCTGTGTAGATATACGACCTTGCTAATGCATTATGTAGGATATCAGAATGGTTTAAAACGGATTGATTCTAAAAGCTGGATTTATGTATGTTGGACCTGAAGGCAAATATCTGTAATCTACAGTACGCATGTCTCGTAGATCTTTACTTTTCAGTTGGTATTTAACAGTTGTTAGACATTCTTAAGATGAAGCCAAGGATTTGGCAGTGAAAAGTGGGGGAGCTGAGAGATGCACGTTTTGTCTAGAATCCTTTGTGCAGGAGTGTTATCAGACAAGCGCAGACCTCATTCTGGAAAACGGGAGGGCGAGGAATCCTCGCAGATTTCTTATCCTGACTCCGTCTTCCTTTTTATAAGTGCCCTACCCACAGCGGCAGAGCATGTTATTTTCTTGCTTTTGGCGGAGTGTTCCAGCAGCTGGGAGGAGGATTAAAACTGGGTGTATAGCGAGGCGATGAGTCAGCCGCCTCGAATTCGACAGTATCGGGGGCTGCGAGGCTCGGGGTTGGTGCGATGACGTTGGGCATTCTACCATGAACCACATTTTCCCACTTTTACTTCTTACAGTGAAACTAGAAATATTACACCCTTCCTCTGTTTATTGCGACACAAAATGTATTCAATTCAGTTTTTTCTGTACCTCTCTTATTTAGAGCGACCTGTCGGCTTACTGTCGTGACCCTACTAACCATTGCTGCTGAGCCACCCTTGCCCAGCCAGGCTGACTCAGTCCTGCCCCCCTGGCAGCGCTCGGCCTGTTGGGCGTCGCTGCGTCAAGACCTGGTCACCGACAGCTGGCGCCACAGTCCAGCCTGTGCACTTAGGAGCTCACTCCCTTTTTTCCCCCATCTAAAATGTTTCTGGTTTTCACCTCTCTTGACTGTCAGCTCATTTTTACTCAAAGTCTTGTTGCCATTGGTAACTCATGCCGTTCAGTTCCAGATTTGTTGCTTACTAATTTTTGTTTACAGGTCCTCCACCACACCTTCAGTAGTTTCTGTTCTGGATAGGCCAGGCTGATGTTGAGAATATCCTCAGTTGTTGGCCACGTGCTGTGCTGACCCAGGTTTCTTCTAATATTGCAAAGGCTCAGGTAAAGGTTCATCCCGTGCGGAATGAGAAATTCCACGCTTTACCTTTCAGCATGGAATAAACTTTTACCTGCTCCTTTGCAGCCTTCACATGCTGAGGCGGACCTTCTTCAGTCAGAAGGCGATCAGAAAGTCTTGGCCTTTGGAGAGAGTCATCAGAAATTGTCTTGATATTAACCTTCATACAGCAGAGAAATTCAAATGGATGTTTTGTGTTATTAAATGATTTAGTAGAAGCATTCTGGGATTTGTTATCAGTGTGAAAACATACACTAAATTCAATATAGCTTAGCCAGGTGGCCATTAATTTAGTTCTTGGATGAATTGATTTTTAAAAGTTTTATCACTTCTTTTTGTATCAAATTAAAAGAGAAACTTTTAAAACTAGGAAATATGTAATTACTGCTGTATGGTTTCAGTTTTGGTTCAACACAAAATATACAACTTCACAAGTTAATGAATCAAATTTAATTTTGGTTGAAAGCCTAACATCATTATTCAGAATGTTGTGTAAGAAACTGAGGTCGATATACAAATACAATTCTATGTAAAGGCAACGTAGCTACTATGTTGAATATAAAAAATAGAGTAGCCTGTTCAGATTTTGTTTATCTACTCCAGGTCCTGTCCTGTAAGGTTTCCACATTTGCTGATGTAACATTCACAGATTGGAGTTTTCCCAAACAAAGGTCACCAGAATAGTTGTACTGCAATGTGAAAAATAAATTTTGCATGAGAAGAATAATCCTCACACAGATAGAGCTCTTTTTTTGGACACTTCATTTAAAGCACTTTGCAGGTAATGGGGGCTCATCTCCACCAGCACCAGTGTGTAGCAGTCAAAGTGGGCCAGAACGCCCCCCACACTTTCACCAATCAGTGGGGAGGAGAACAAAGAGATGAAGTCAGGGATGGGGATTATTAGGAGGTGTGATTAGTAATGGCCAGTGGGAAATTGAGGGCATGAGACTGGAGCAATACCCCTATTCTTTACGAGAAACACCCTGGGATTTTAAATGACCACAGTGAAGCCGGACCCACACAAACCGCAGGGTGAGCGACACCTGCTGGTCCCACTAACACCTCTTCCAGCAGTAGCCTTAGCTTTCCCAGGAGGTCTCCTGGCTAGGTACTGACCAGGCTCACACCTGCTGAGCTTCAGTGGGCTGCCTGCTGTGAGCTGCAGGGTGAGATAGCTGCTGGAAAGAGGGGCTGCAAGGCAAACGTCAGATCTCGAGTGCCGGGTGAAATTCGAGTCTTCGCTCTAGAGAGTGAGCCTCATTCTACCTATCAGCTCTTAAGGATTTGCGTCGTCTCCCAAGACTTCTTATTTGACTGCCAATAATCTGGCAAGAGGTTCTACTTCTTTATGCGTCATGCCCTGAGGTTCACAGACTGGTACAGCAAGCCTGGCCTGGTCATGTACCCAGCTGGATTATCACACAGAATTAGCGTCATGTGCTCCTATTATGATCCCACAGTCTTGGGAGTAGATCCAGACTTTATTATTGCCTGACATCGCGCTGAGCACAGGGGTGACATGGGTATGATTGTATTGCTTGACTGTGGTCATGCTCTCCTTTATGCATGGTATATGATTTGCATGCCCCCCTGACCCTACTCCACCCAGAGTGCACTTGGTTCAGATAGTGTCTTATCACCAAGAGTGCTAGCCGTGATTTCCCATGCCGCTTTGCACGAGCTCACCCAGAAAGGTAGCAGGAGCCAGCCAACGAGAGCAGATGCAGTGCTGTCAAATAAGATGCAGTATACGGTCAATTTAACAAGGGCAGTGGCATCTCTTTGAAGCTGTCTAGACGTCACTATCACAGTAAGAGCTTCATATACTGTACATCTCCTAAAGTATCGGAAAGGGAACAGAGATGAATTATTTTAAGGTCTTGGCATGTTGATTTTTTTAAGATGAGTAGATCCTTGTTATTGAGCTTTTCATCTCATGATGAAAAATGGAACAGGTTTTTTTTTATAACAGGGTTTCCTTGGAGTCCTGAATCCAGCTGGTTTCCTCTGTCCCCTTAAGTAATAAAGAGCTCTTCACAAGGGAAAGGTGTTAAATCGATCCTGTTAGGGTGTATCTGCACCAAGTTATTGACTCTCTGTGGCCTTCAGCCGTTGGCAATTTAAAGAGACAGAAGATATGCTGGATTCCAGACTCTCAGCTCCTGTCTGGGAACTCCTCTTCTAGGTCTGTCATATAATACAGAACACGCCAAATGGGTAGTGTTAGTTACACTTCTCTGTTATTTCATTTCTTATTTGTGTTTTATTTGCATTATATTTGTTTAGAATTACTCTGTGTTTATAGTAATGTTAAACTGTCAGGTACCATTGCATTGCAAATGGGCTGGAACCTGAAAGAGAAGATGTTTGGGTGGAATCTCCTCTGTTCTCTGTAATACATTTTTTCAGAACTCTTTTTGGCTTCTCCGTTCAGTTTCTGCTTATTACCTTTTAGAAATGTGTTTATCAGAAATAACGAGTCAGTTGTGCAAAAGACTTCTAATAGGGAACTAAAGCTAATTGCAGATTATGTTCAGTACTTCTTTATGTAGGCAGTGTTTTTTACTTGCGCTATAGATTTGTGAAGTATGTTGTGAATTAAATTGTCCCACTGTAAAATACTGAGCTCTTCATGGGTAGTTATGAATATGTGGGAAAATGCCTATAAATATGTAATTACATCCTGAGCACATGCATCTCCTGCGCTTATTAGCCATAATGATAATACATCTTGTTTTGTTACATTTACATGGGGAATAATATATTTGTACCTTGAATTTTTTTAATTACCTTGTGAGGTTAGTGAGAGAAAGCAGGTGAAAATGAGACACACACCTGTTGTAATTGAATAATTGGCTCTAGAGGGAGGGAGAGGAGCAGATAGGAGAAGGAGAAGCTCTGTGTGGAATAGGACACCCCCTGGGCTCGTTTGCAGAAACCTTCAGGTAGACGGCTCAGACTGTGGGATGTGATGTAGGAGGGCTCCGTTAGAAAACTGGAATCCCTCTTAATTCGATGTCAGACTTGCTTGATCTGGAGGTGGCGTGACACTTCATTCTTCTTTTTTTCCCTAGTTTGAAGGTTGTCTCGTTAAACCTTTGGAGAGTTCGGATATTCCCAAGTACTTTCTGCTTTAAGGGAGCAATGAAGTGAGGCAGGTTATTCAGCGTGACACCCGAAAAACGCGTCTGTAGGCCATTTCCCTGTTGGAAGCGGTGCTTTGTCCGGAGTGAGGTGGGGGCCTGGCTGGTGACGTGTCCCCGGTTGTGTTGCAGAGACCGTGCCCGCCTGGCCTGGGCCGAAGGCGTCGCAGTCGGCCGAGCAGCTGAAGAACGGCGGCCTGACCCCCTTCACCTCGGCCAGTGCCCACTTGTCGTGGTCTGCAGAACCTTCCCCGGCTCCGTCTCTGAGCAGCACGGGCCTTCCCCAGGGCGAGGAGGTAAGGTCCTGCTCGCTCTCGGCTGCGGGGGGGGAGAGTCTCCTGGGGGTACGTTTGCTTCAAAAATGTTTCAGGCTGCGCGTGTGGTGGGGGGGTGGGGGGTGTACACACAAATTTGCTTCTTTTCATCAGAAAAGGTTCAATCTTAGCTTGCAGGCATAATGGGTTAATGAGGTATCAGGCTGGATCAGAGGGTGTTGGCGCCCGCTTAGATCCTTAGATGTAGGAAGTCCAGCAGCTTTTGTGATCCTAGAGCAAAGGCATGATTATTGTGGCTAAATAAGTGTTCTTTTGATGGTAGCTGCTGTCTATTCAACTTCTTGCATTACAGTGGTTTACTGGCGTGGATTTTGACATCTGTAGACTCGCAAGGTGTGTATGTTTTAATCCTAAGTGTACTTATAGCAGTCTTGTGCAGCAGCAGTATATTTTGAAATCATCCACAGAAATGGTGATGTTGGTGTGTTCTTTCAGATTATTGTACCGAATTTAAAGCCTAAGGTTTGTGCCAGATTGTTAACTGTTTTAAATATGTATGTAGTACTATTTCGGTGAAAAAAAATACTTGAAATATCTTCACTACAGCCTGGTACAGATAGAGCGGACAAAGAATTAATCTGCTTATGTTAAATTTGCTTTCTATATGAGATAGGAGTTCCATAATTCCTGTCTGTCTCGCTGCTTATTATCCAGGCTTTATTGGTTTGCTTCGTTACAGTCCTCCCTGCAATCAGATAAGTTGTCTATCTTCATTCATTTAATTTGCTTTGCTGCCACTGGAGAGAGGTTTGCTCTTATCTTATGGTCCGGCTATGATAGAAAGTGTTTGTATTTTGAAATATATTTCATCAGAGTTGCAAACTTAATGCCAAATCTCTGCTGGTTAGCCTGAATCGGAAAAGCTTGATTCCTCGTGAACTTTGGTTCATGTGTCTGAGGTGAGGTTTATATACATATCTTCAAACACAAAGGTTTGCGTGTCTCTGGTCTGTGTGTTCCAGCCTAGCATGGCCTTGTCTGTTTTGGATCAGAGCTGCCATCTGGGAGGCTGTCTAGCTTGATTTTTAACCCAGAACTGGTTGTTTTTGGTCATTCTTGTAGAGTGCGTTTGGGCTGTCATTTCTTTGGCTTAACGTTTTGTCATAGCCTTGAAGGGCGATCCAGAGCACATTCCCACAGGATCCCAACTCGACGTAAAACACAGACATAAAACAATTGTACACAGCACACACTTGTGATTAGTGCATTGACTCTTTGTGTGTGATTGCAACAGGCCAGTACAGTGCGGTGTCCATGTGTTGAGTTAGTGGTGTGCACGCTCTCTGTGTTTCTTTTGTTGTTCGTATGGACCTCTGTCAGTGTTGCCGAGTCTGCACCATGAAGTGCAGGAGTCTGCACAAATGAAGGGTTTGTGTGTTGATATATCTGTGCGGGTTTTCATGCCATCCCACCTTAATTAGTTAATCGAAGCCTTTTCATTTTTCATACATTCATTTTTACTTTTCGTGCATTTCAAAAAGAATTCCGAATGTACAGAGTGTTTTCTCAATCAACACTATAGATCATTATAGGCGTGAATACTGTAAGTTTGGAAGCTGTCAAACCTGTTTATTTAACAAAGCTCTTTGGCCAAGTGTATTTCAGTGGTTTATTCTATTATGTGTGTTAGTTTCGGATGTTGTCTAGGTTTGAAAAACTTGTTTTGTTTTAAAGATGTGGTTCCAAGTCCAATATGGACTACAGTCTTGTCATAAAAATATCACTGAAAATATTACAAATTATTGCCATTTACAGTACACTTTGTTTCTGATACCAAAACAATGTAAGTAGTTCAGACTGGTGTTAAAGTGAAGATTTATTGAAAATGTTTAATAATGCAGACTTAGACTCAATTTGTTTAAATATGTCTTCTAAATATTATTGTAACTAAACGGATGTTTTTTTCCCCAAAATGATTTTGATCATTTTTAGTATACCAGTAGTGGGAAACGTCACTGTTGTCTACAGACGCTACTGTGAAGCAGGAGTGAATGACCTGAAGCCAATTCGAGTGAAAAAACAGCTTTCAAAATTGTGTTCCACCAGGTGGATTCCAGTGGTACTACAGCTGGAGAAATACAATGGCTGAGAGACTGTTGGTTCATTTTGGTTAATGAAACATTTGACTTTAATTGCACTTTCAAGCATTATCACTAAAAGTAATGACCCAGAATGTGTTTAACACCAAGAGAGCTGAAGTCTGGGCAGAAGTCTGTTAAGGCCCCTTTTCCAGTCTCCACAGAAACAGCAGTGTGGATGAAGAGAGGGTGATCGTCAATGGCTTAGCTCACTTACAGCGGGCAGGGGCAAGCAGCACTTGGGGGAAGACTTGCAGTGGAATCTCAGTCCATATTTTGCACTTTTTTATGTTTCTAAATAAACACAAACCCCGTCTGGGCACTGTTGCAACTGCTGGCTCTTCAGTTCCTTGAACGAGGGCCTCCAGCCAGACGGAAACAAATATATTATTAAAATTGACTCCTCACAGCACACAACATGGTTTTTATTCTAATTGTCTCTCTTTGGGGTATTATTAGTTTACATAATGAGCAAGAACATACGGGATATTGTAAAGAAATAATGTATTCTTATCCTAGAAACAAAGACTTACTACAGAAGAATGCCCATGGGGTGACTGAATGAGTGATTGAGAAAGTATTACTGACTGCAGTTCTCCAGAGCTCTCCGGAGAGGTTACTGTGCTACCAGCAAGATTCCATAGAACTCCAAGAGTCTTCACACTTGACCGTGTCCTGTATTTTCTCTGGGTCTCTCTTGTTTTTGCTCAAAGCTGAGGGATTTACGTTTATCTTTTAACAACAGGGCTGTTGCTGGATTGTACGCTCAACGGTTAGCCCCAATAGTTTTAATTTTAAAACCCGTTCTGGTGTTAAATATTAAGTTTGATACGGATTAGGGGTTGGAAATAAGGAGATGTTAGGCGTGGGAATTGCTTTTTCTTGCAGATGGGAAAACAAGTCCCAGTAACAGGAGATTGTACAAGGGCTATTTCATTTTCTTAGGATTTCTTAGTTTTCAGCTTTTACCAGTTTTGGCCATCTTTTACATACTCCATGAAACGTAAAGGTTCCCCACAGTGCTTTCTGACGTGTGGTTGTCTGGTGGGCTAGTGCAGTATGCCTGTGTGAAAGGCGGATTGCATTATATTCAAATAGGGCCAGCTGCCTCTTTCACACTGGTTTGAGGGCTGATAAAATCTAGTGGGTTTGTTGTTTTTTTTTCATTGCACATCTGCGTGATGCTTTTTGGAATGTAAACTAGCGCAGTGTAGTTCCTCAGCTAGCGCAGTGGATGGTGCCAGAGATCACAGGATCTGTGCTCTGCCTTGGTCAGAGCCAGGATGCTGGAAGGGTCAATCAGTCACTCCCTGAATAAACATTGACTTGCTTTTCTTGGGTAGGAGGGGGTCATTTATTTTGCCTGTACATGTATGTGCCATCTACAGAAATACATGCTATATATTATATTTTTTTTACTTTGGGTGTGATTACATATATGAACAACCTGCTTTAGAATTCTGGAGCTGCAACATCTCTCTCTGAACCCGTGTTTCAGCAAGGAGGCTGGAGAGGCAGCAGTGCAGTGCAGATCTGCACTACAGTTTTCTCCTGTAGGTCTGTGTTACAGATGTGTAGTTCAGGCCGCATGGATATTGCGATATTACTTGCAGGATATTGTCTTTGTGAAATATTCTTTTTGAATTCCTCCTGCCTTAGCAAGCACAAGGCAAGGGCACATTGTAGATCACATATTTTGTTTTAGATTTCTATTAAGGATTAGAAAGTTTGACTTCATGGGGATTTTTTTTTAATGTACCTTCAAACAGCTTATTAAATCAAGATTATATGTTCTGTAGCTACAGTATGCCTGCACACATTTATTCATTGCTTTTCTTTGTATTCTAAGCTTTTGTTGGAGACCAGTACTGTATATCAGCTTAGGATATTGTCTTCCTCTTTAGTTTTAACATATTACTCCTTACCCATTAGCTGACAAGCCATATTATTTTAATGTAATTCATTTATCAAACAGAGCTGGAATGTTTTCAACAAAATAAATTATATTTTACGTCTGTGTTTCCATCTCTGGGTTTTGCATGTGCAGGGAGAGATTATTCAGAATGAATAATGTGAATGTAAAAAGTGTATTTGACTGTAAAAATCAATATTCCATGCTTGTAATAAATACAAGAAGAAGCGCTTTTCTTCTGCGTGTTAACTAGCACAGAAGTCATTCTCTTAGACCAAAGAGGAAAAAGATCAGTCCAGCCGAACCCGCAGAGCTGTGTTATCTCTGTGTGTTGGATATTGAATATTCAACATCATGGTGCAGTCTGCTAACACATTTATGAGCAGCTGTCTCTTTCATGATACACCACAAATACTGACTGGAAGCCTCATCCTTCTAGGCCTGCCATGACTATGCAAGTAAGTAGGAGGATAATGTTTTATGAGTCATCTGCCTCGTTCAGATTTCTTACTGTAAAATCCATAATGTTACCTAACTTTGAAGTATTTTTAACTTCTTACCTTCTGCCTCCTCAGAGAGCCCCAGTTTTGTGTTGTGATTGCTTGTTAGAACTGATTAGTACCACCCTGATGTATTTCAGAGAAGCCTAATGCACCAACACTCTGTTTATCTATACAGGAGTACGGAAGCTACTTCAAATGAAAGGGCTTTGTAGAAAAAGAGACAAATGTCAAACACATTCTGCCCTGAAACCCCCTTTTTATATTCTGTAAAATCCAGTAATAGGGGCACTACTGCACGTGCATAAACCCTTTATGAACACAACTGATGGGATTATGGATTTCTCTCCCTTTGGGCACAGCTGGTCCAGTGATGTCTGTCACTCATAAATTGGATTTCAAAGCAGTAAATGTCACTGTGCTATAAAAATAATGTAATAGCACTTTCAAAATGACACAAATCTCACGATT